AAAAAATTCTGTAGGTTTTTTTCCGAGCTCTGAGCAAAAGTTTGAAAAAAACGACGCACCCGCCCCCGGTCTGGCTAGCACAATGAGCGAGCAGGGCAAGGAGCGAGCGACAGCTTAAACGGCCCTCCGGGCATTGGGCGACGAAGGTCGCCTGGCGCATCGAAAAATATTAAAAATGTCTTTCGGAAACCTGATTTTCAATTACCAAAGCTTATGGAAAATATAGTTCAACTTATTGAGAAATATTTTTATTGTCTCGAAAATTTTGGAAAATTGGAAGTCAAATATTGTCTCGAAAATTTTTTCTGATGTGCTCACTCTAAACACTACTTCACGGTAATTTTACAATCTCCTGTGTCATTCGACAATCCCAATACTTAACATCGCAGAACATTCACTGCGGGTTGCAGTCTCGAACTCGCAACTCACTGCTACTATTCTGCTGTGCATTTACGATACGATACTCCCGGTTCTGACAAGAAACTGGCGCACAGAGCTGGGATCGAACCCGCTCCTCTCTGCTCCAATCTTGGTCCTCAGGGGCCATACTTTCAAAACTCGCTAAGTGAACGTAAGTACTTACGCTCTATTTCTTGTCTATGATTGGTGGATTTTGCTTGAAAGGCTGTCAATGATTGGCTAATGAACTTACGATCTCTTAACTTTTTTTGAAAGTATAGGCCCCAGAACTGTAACCACTGGGCCAACGATGGGGTGCGCCTCAAGTGCGGGGCGCAGAAAAATGGCTTATGATGCGTGATTAAGTGAATAAATTTCAGTTTTTTGGTTATCATGGATAATTTTATTCATTAACAATGTTGAGACCTGCAACTAACTGGAAACAGGTAATGCTCGTGTTCTTGGCCGCATTGAATTTCCTCTAACAGTGTAATTTTATGTATTTTTAGCGTATTTTCTCATTTATGGAGAAAATGTTCTACTGTGCTCGCCATGTCCGTCCGTCTGTCCGTCCGTGACTTCACGTTTTCGTCGACGAGAAAATGCGCTCTCCATCACTCACTGCAATGAGTACTGAGATACATTTTTTGTAATTACGGAGCTAACTGTAAAGGTGCTTATACACGAGGAAAGTTCAAGCCGATACTTTTAACGGCAAATACCTTCCACTTCAAATAAGGAGCTAATTTTTTCTTCAGTGGAAAATAGAAATGATCGATCGTTTTGCACCGGCAAGAGACACAAGTTGGGCTGAAACAGCCGTTGCGTGGGTATTTATGCCGCTCCGTAGGTTCACGGAACACAGTAGGAGATGCTCCAATATATCTCACCACCCAGTCTTTCACCCACAGTCTATACGTTGATCGAAAAAGTCTCTCATCTCCTCAGCTAGAGTTACAACTATTCCACCAAGTAATTTATCAAAAGCCTCCTTAAACTCGTCGTTGCTGTCACGTTTCATATTGTCTTCCACCTATCGCAAATTTCACTTCTAACTTCTTTCTCTTAACTTCGAACGACTTCGTTTCTAACGACGCACTGAAGCTTGCGGATGAGAAAATGTTGTTTGGCCATTTCATCCCGTATAAGCTTTTAGTCCGTAAAACTTTGAGGGGGAACTATTTTCGATCAATAATATCGGCTAGACCTTTCATACAAGAACGTTTTATAAACTTTTCCAGTTTTCAGAACCACACGCGCAGAACACGACCATCAAATAGTCAGGCTTGGACGTGCTGCGCACATAGCAACTTAATTGCAATTTGCTTATTTGGTAATAGGAATACATTAAAATTTAGGAATATTCAGTAAGGAGCAGATACGATACGACTCTATCAGAACGAGTTTTTCCTTTTCTTCGTTGAAGTAAATTGGTAACAATGCTGGAACGACTCGGGTTTTGACTTGATCTGTGAAAGAACAAGGATTTGCATCTAATTTTATGTTAATGGTGAGAAATAATTAATTCCTCAAAATGCGCTCATTTTTCAATGGCAGCTAAAGTAATCATATTTTTCACCAAAAAGCAGAGCTTTTTTGTTTAGCCACTTCAACGTGGATCAATTTTTTACAACACTTCTCTTTAACTTCACTTCTTGTCTGTCTGTCTGTCTGCTACAAATCTTATAATCAAAATTTAACACACTTCTACTTATCCTATCGATCTTAAATTTTGCACACTTGTGTAAAGTTGGAGACAATGCATGAATCAAATGTCAAAATAAATTATTTAAGAAATTTAAAAAAAAAATTTTTTTCAATATTAAAAATATTGAAAAATAATTTTGTCAGCAACAAATCTTATAACTGATATTTGACACACTTTTACCCGTCTAATTGATCTGAAATTTTGCGCACTTGTATGAAATCAGAGGCAATGCATGAATCAATTAACTGAATAAATAATTTTGAGAAAATTTATATATTAAAAAATTTATATATATTAAAAAATTGACATGTAAATTTTTTTAATTTTCGAAAATTAGATGAGAAATTCATTGTACATCTGGAAGATTGGAGATACTGGATTCTTTGGAAGTGTAATAAAAGGTATAAAGGTATATTATTTTTCAATGGCAGCTAAAGTAATCGTATTTTTCACCAAAAAGCAGCACTTTTTTGTTTTAGCCTCTTCGACGTGGATCAATATTTTTTGAGACCTCATGTGACTCCACTAAAAGAATGAGGTTCACTGCTCTTACATTGAATGAATTCTGTGTTGGAGCAGGCTAAGAGTGTTAACTCCTATAGCAGAGAGCTTCGTATATCCTGCTTCCTTTTGCCACATCGCATCCCACGCGCGAGGCGTGGAGTCTTTATAAGTAAAACCTAACTAAGAACAGAATGAAACACCGAAGTTTAGACACCGGCTTGACATTGAGGAGGATGTAAGAGTGACTGCTACACTTCAACCTATGGGATGTTGCGTTGTGCAACACAAATTTAATACAGCCATTAATGCAGGTCACAATTTGTACAACAGAAATCACGCAGCAGAAAACCATGAAAATGTCATTCCATCATTAGTCTTATGTAGTTTACAATTGTTCCATATCAAAATTATGAGGACGTGAAAGCACATTTATCATACAATAAACTTGGTTTTATTTGATTTTATTGATTCTGAACTATTTTAGATTATCGGTTCATTCAACTTGAAATTTAATTTATAAAGTATTACTAATGTCGATATAGAAGGACAGTTGGGGCATAAAATTCCTACTAATTTAAAGTTGTAAAGGGCCAAAAAATTTTGGGAACCACTGCTGTGAGACAAAAATTTATAACTTTAAAATTATCTAAACACGGTAACACTCACTGTGAAGAAGTAATGCACAATTTCATTGTATTCGTCGAAATAGATTACATTTAACAGCGCGGTCGGGCACGACTATCGTATTATATACGTTAAGGTTCTATTCAAATATAACTCATAAAAATGGCATTGTAAATTGTCAACACGATATAAAAAATTAACAATTCGTAAATATACTACACGCCGTTTAACAAATACAAAAATTATATTAAATATTTATGTATATATAAGTATATATATCGTTGATGCTTTACCAAGAAATGCTTCACCTATTTAAGGATCTTCTGCTTGCAGAGGTTCGAAGTACAAAGTGATTCCAAAATTGGCCTTAAAAACATTCCATGTTTTGCTTTTGTGGGGATTGTCTAACTCTCCTCTCGTTAGCGTCAATCTGCATTGAGAGAAAAAAACTTAACTGTTTTAAAATATTTAACCTGAGACCTCTTGAGAGAGATGACATTAAATGATTCTAGAGATTCAGAAACATTTACATCGCGTATGTCTCAATATATCAAAGCCGTAGAATTAAGGGTTAAAATGTTGTGATACAGTGAATGTAATTGTAATAGTTGTTAAGCAACGTATATAAGTTCTTGTTATCTGTATTTACTGAATTTTATCATAATCATAGCATTATTGAGAATGAAAAGAAATATCTACTATTGAAAACTGGACGAAAATCTAACAACGTTACTAAAAAATAATAACTCATTAAAGTTGCGATCACTTTTTGTTAAATTCTTACTTGTTATTTTCGATGAAGCCGGAATGGAACCAGAAAAAGAACGGACAATTGTCATAGCCTTTGGGCACGTGCCTCTGAAATTATGAAAAAAAATAAAGACCAGGCAATAAGTCCAGCAGCTATCTCAATCAATCGTCAGCTATGGAAAGATCGGGTTCCAGAGGCCGGATCCCTTGTGAATCAAGTCACGAAAAATTCAAGAATCGGCAACAGGCCATGGGCCTATTTCTTCTGCAACGCCGACACTTCTATTCTATTCTATTCTAACTCAGTACTCACTGCAGTGAGTGACAGAGAGCGCATTTTCTCGTCGACGAAAACTAGAAGTCACGGATGGACAGACGGACGGACGGACATGGCGAGCACAATAACCATATTGCATTTTTTCCATAAATGAGAAAATGCGCTACAAAGCACGGGAATGAGCGAGCGAAATTATGACAGAAATTGCCGGAAATCAATCATTAAGTGGAATTTATTTGTAACTTATCGAATTCAAAATGTAAATATGAGCGAACAAATTAAGGACTAACATGAGCAAAATAAGATCTAGATAATGATGATAGCGGTTTCAGCGTTTAGTAGGCCGTAGGCCTGTCGCCGATTCTTAACATCGCAGAACATTCACAGCATTTTGCGGTCTCGAACTCGCAACTCACTACTTCAATTCTGCTGTGCTTAACCGCCCGGCCTCCTTGCCGATTCTGACCAGAAACTGGCGCACAGAGCTGGGATCGAACCTGCGCCTCTCTGCTCCAATCTTGGAACTATGAACTTTAAGCACTGGGCCGTTCACTTATTTGTTTATCAATATATTTGCAAGCATTTCAACATTCAAAGACTCACACTTGATGAATAAAACACGACTTTGGTGTCGCCTGAAACTTGGGGTCCCGGCAGCAAGTCGACGTATACCTCCCCTTTGCTCACGCGTCTCTGATGGACAAACGCAATAAATTTATTAAAGCATCGCGAGTTTTCGTCGAAACCCTTTTTCAATTAATCCTGTGACTGGTGTTTGCCCAAAAGATTTTAACGCGACTTATCATTCGTTTTAAACTAGTATCGTCGCAGTTTCAGTTCAGTTCAGCAGTTTTATTTTAGAACACATTTATGATACTGCGAATGAAATTCACATTTTAAGAGGAACTTTACAGGAGGCGATTTTTACCAGTACGGAAAAAATTCATTATCATATGTTCAATAACTTAATATGAGATAATAATAATAGAACGCATTAAAAAAGCTTTACTACCGCTTACATTGCTCAATTGTGATCACCTTATTTATTTACCACAATAAAACGTAAAATAGGCCCCAGATTTTTAGCATACAATACTTATTTATATCAGCGATTATTAAAAGCTTGGAAGAGCAAAGTACTACTTCGTCCGTGTGGTCTTGCATTCATGACAGCACAGTTTCACGGGCAAATTTTCGCAACGAAAAAAAGTTATTAGATGTACTGCAATGCAGGGATCGTTTTTTATGAGACCAAAAAAATGGGTTAAATAAAATTCAAACCAAAACCTGAGCATCCCTGTGTTAAACTCAGAAATGAGCCTGTGCATCCCAATGTACATCGTATCACAAGGTGGTCAGTTGTTACAAGATCATTGAAGATTAATAATTTCGTGTATCTATGTATTGCTATACAAATTGTTGGAAGTAGGATTGAACGCGTTCTCTGGCTAAATATTGAAAATTTAATGAAAGATCGAGAGATATGCTGAGATCATATGATCACAAAACGTTACTTGCAATTTACTAAGTTATTCTTAGCCACCAAAAGACAGTCATAAGACTGGCGTGGTTCAGACCTTGCAGTGCTGAATGGAGGTGAGGGAGCACCTGTAGGGCAGGGCGCTGGTGCGGCTACCCACGGTTATGGTGAACTCCTCCCCCGTGCCCAGTCCCACGCCCTCTGTGTGTCATGTGGAATATATTGATACTCCTGTAATTTCATGATGAGGTTTATTTTCATAATGTGTTCAAGGTCTGCACAATGTTGCTGCACTTCTTCAATTGCTGTGATTGCATAGCCACATCAGATTAGTCATAGTGTTTTCAACTATGACGTGTACAAATAGAAAAATTTGGTATACTTATTTAATTCGGTATTTTTATTTATGTTCTTTAAAAGCTTAGTTACAGCCGATTACTGAATCAATTTTCATAATATAAAAACAAAATGTAGCTGTCTACGCCCAGCTGATGCATTTCATTCAACAAGAAGAAGAATTGTGCTCACTCATGCCGTGCATGACGAAACGCTTGAGCACCAGCACGACACTGGGAGGGATCTGGCGACCGTTGCGCACCACGCGTTCGTAGTACCCCACATAGCGACTCTGTGTAGACGTTACATATCGGACGTTATTTTGTGTCATAAAATACGAGACAAAATAATGCGAGGCAAGTTTCACAAACAAGGTATTAGTGTTAGCATAGCATATAATATAGTGATGTCGGTGCTGAAGAATAGGCCTAATGTGGCCTGTCGCAGATTCTTGTACTTTTCGTGACTTGCCCACAGGAAATTCATTGTGTTACGTATTGAGTAGCTGATGGATACAAGCCCAAAACTGGAAAGGTGACCAGCACGAGCCAGAGGACGTCACATATGTTCAGCATTTGCGATTTCAACCACAAATTAGTTCGAGCATCACGATCGACTAATTTATCGACAATAATTTATTGTTAAGTATTCCACTACATCATTAATTTCTCGCTAGACCAGAGGTGTCAGCCATTAAAGTTTCACATTACAAGTATATTTCTATAATTTCTTTACAAAACTGTACGTTTGGAAATTTTTTATAATAAAACGTACCTGGCAGGCAAAAACACGGAAAATGCAAGTAATACCCACTGACCTGACTTGGAGTTTCAACTCCTTGGAATTTACTGCCCGCATTCTTGTCGGTCCTCCTATCGCCGAAGTAACTGAGGCATTGGTCTGCGTTTTTGAAGGCGCCCGAGTCGATGAGGCACACGCAGATCATGGTGCCCGTGCGGCCCTTGCCGCCCTTACAGTGCACCGCGATCACGTTGCGTTCGTCCTCTGCCTGAAACTTGCGCACGTTCTCACTGAATTCCAACATGACCCTGCGTGGAGGTCGCTCGTATCATGGCTCAGTGAAGATGTTAGCATGATTATTTGCTCCACTACCAACGGTTTATACGAGAATACATAATTAGGAAATATTTATTACTTGAGAAGGTAAGCTTCTGAAGGTTAAATCGAGAGACTAAATTTTTATATTAGTTCGTGTAATCGACTAATCGGTTGTTGAATCTGTGAATCGTAATAAAAACAAACATGATGAGGCTACGCCATTTGAGAAGACTCGTAGGACGACTGATTCACCGAATGAAAGTTCATCGACCCAATGTTCTACTCATTTAATTACTAGTGCAACCGATCATACACACCGTGAATTTGTCAACAAAAATTAATTCAAGGGATACATTCGATAAAAATTCAATGCAAACAAGCCTGTGTGCATGGGATAAATTAAATCTTATGTAGAGACTGCATGCAACAAACTGTGTATTTTATAATAATTTATGATATCAACAAATAAGCACGAGCTATATAGGATGTTGTACTCGAGTTCTTCATGTTATGGCTTGAACTTACTCGATTGCCGGTACATTATGGTCGTTGATAGGGTAGCGCTGCACCGCACCATGGAAGAAGTGCTCGTCGTAATGTCGCTCCGAGCAGAGGTTATACACGCGGTAGTGGCCGGCATGCTTGTAGTCTAGGAAGCGACTTACGTCCTGGAATGGAATAATTTATCTTCATTGTTTATAAACACACATGCATTTTGGAAACAGATACTTAAATTTATTTTAGTTAAAATCAAGGAGATTTTTTACCGCACGTCACACGAATAATCTACGGAAATGAACCTTAAACAGAAAAGCAGACATATTATTCCGACTTTTGAATAACTTTCGTATGATCTTTGGAACTTGACATCCAGAGATAACGTTTTCACTGTTTATGCAATTATAATAGCCTTGAGTTATGACCGATTTTTAAACTGTTATTCGCTATCTTATTTGTGCATCGCAAGGTTAATATGATGGTTACACGTGCACGGTTACCCTGATATCGTTCCTGTACACGTGTCCTGCCGTACCCTGATATCGTTCCTGTACACGTGTCCTACCATACCCTGATATCGTTCCTGTACATGTGTCCTGCCGTACCCTGATATCGTTCCTGTACATGGACATTTTGCCGGAAGAAGGGAATGACATGGCAATGACTGTTGGGGTGACGTAAGAAAGGTCCAAGTCGAATCCTTCCCGTTGATAGCGACGTTTGTTTTGAGATATGAACTGCCGGGCTCCTTTCTGTGAGGAATGAGATTTATTTAAAATAATAACAATTAAATCATTATTACGAATGCAATAGCGAAAGATATAATTTTTTCCAGAGTCAGTAATGTAGTTCTAAATTCAATATTATTCTCCGTTATAAAATAACATACAAAATTATTTGGCAAACATTACTTGGACTTGTGACGAAACTTACAATACAATTTCATCGCTGTATGTTTTAACAAACTCTCAATTTCATGAAACATTCATAAACATTCATTCGATAAGGAACACAAAAGAGCAAAGAATCTAGAAATTACTCAACTGTTCACGAATTCATTTATCTGCGATTTTTACTAACTCTCAACAGCTCAAGATAACATAATTATCACTTCTTTCTACTACCAACAGCATGCGGACAGTGAGAATCATAGGATGGAAAAGCGCCTCTGCAACACTAGCAGCGGCGAGAAGCAAGCAACAGCATCGTGCATCAGGTGGCCCAAATGAGCGCGGATGAACGATAATCAGAGGCGGCGATCCATCGTGGCCTGGGACTGCTAGGTCCCAAACAAATACCAAGGATACCAAGATCACACTCACCGTGAGATGTTTCTGCTGCCACACGATGCGAGATATTCTCACCAGACGCACAAGTCTCAGCACCACGATCAGCCTGACCAAAGCAACGCAGAATTTTTAATCCGGAGAGAGTTCATACATAAAAACCAGTATTGTTTCATATCACATTGTTCCTGCTGTATCAGTGAGGTATGATCAATATTCCCGTGCTGGCGAATGCTAAGAATTTATTGTATCATATGTATTTCGAACAGTGGAATAATGATATGCGTGCCGGGTAAAATTAGATATTAAACTTACTGACACCATTTGCATAATTTTACCGCCGTCTCAAACACTGTGACGTTTAAAATCTCAAAATATTCAGCCATGCGCCGTAAAAAATATTTAAACATGAAAACACGTAGTCCTATTCAATTTAGTAATTAAATTATATTGGTTAAAGAATTTTTTATCAGTTTAAGTTCATAAATCACGCAAATTGGAATAAACTTCCTTTCGAATGAACTCCATTCTCGGTATGCATAATTCATCATAAAAGTATTTCTATTTAATTTCCGAATGAGCGTTGACTTCGCACATTATTGCAACAGAAGATTGTAGACAAACAAACATGCGTTATATACTCCATTACGCAACAGTAATCAGCTCCAAGCTAATTGCCGCGGCCATTACTCAATAACAGCGATTGTCAACGTTACTCGATTGTCAACGTTACTAACTGTCAACGTTACTAATTGACAACGAAGAGGACGCTCGTGATCACTCGATTTCATTTGGTGTTTTGATAATGTAATCCTAAAGGAAAATTTATCTCGTAAGGGACACATGAAAGTTTGTAACTTAATTAGGAAGGTAATAAAATTGAATGTAATCTTATTCGAGAAAATTAATTTTTTTGCTGATTTTTTCATCAGACCCAGCAGTCCGATTGAAGTTAGAACGCGCGGTCTGAGACAAATAATAAAATTAATCGATTTCACGCACTATGGATTGGAACAAATTGGAATTATTTCAATTTTTCGCGTTTATATTTGTTAAGAATTTGAAAATAAATTACTGTAAATTTTACTAATCGCGCTTTAGGAATCCAAGCAAAATTTCAATTTTTAACTTGAAAATGCTCTTAAATTAATATGTATGTACACCATAATACACGTGCGATTAATGACCAGAGAATTCGTTAAACTAAATTATCAGAGAGTCGAACAATTCTTCAGATAATTTACTAAGTATTTTACACAAATTTTATAATGATTTACAAAGTATTTCTCAAAGTATTACAAACAAGTAGCTTCATCTCAAGATCATCGATGAATTCAACAGGCTTCGTGACACCCTTGACAACAACGTCATACTCTGGACTAAACTCAACAATGGCTCAACAAAAACGCGGGAGTTATCCGAGAGGCCGGTGCAAAATATAAATTTGCTTCAAAGAAGTATTAATGTCACTTATTTGCTTAAGTCGCAAGTTGACTAAAAATTAAAAAGCAAAGAATAGTCCACAAAAATTCATATCTTTATAGAAAACGTTTCGGAGTCCAGCTCCATCGTCAGTTCGTAGAATCTAGCTGGAGCTGGACTCCGAAACGTTTTCTATAAAGATATGAATTTTTGTGGACTATTCTTTGCTTTTAAATTTTGCTTCAAAGATGGTTGTAGACATCTTCATGATTTGGACTATATGGAACTATTGGACTAACAACCAGGACACCGAGCCGCTGTCTCATTAGCTACCTTCAACCTGGAGGGCAAGTGAACCACATGAGACAAGCTCACAACTAGACCGTCACTCGCTTTGTGCTGAAGGAACCCACCAGCATTGTCATCAAGCAATGGCCTGACATCAACCGACCGACGATAGTTGAGTCCCTCATCTCTACGGATTGGACTCTAGCTATCTTTATCCTAGCTGCCGGATCATTTTGAACTCTAAGAGAGTTTTCAGAGTGATTTTTCTGTTTCAAAATTTTACTGTTGTATCGTATTTAAGCATGTTAAGCACTTATTTCCACCAAAATTTCAATGTTCAATGTTTTATGTACCTGAAAATGAATGTTTGAAACATCATTAATAAACTAAAGCTACTTCCTGAAATATGTCTTTCGATCTACTAACGTCATCTGAAAAAGTGTTCGAATTAATAGCACGTGTATAAACAATCAAATTCTGCCATCTAATACTAATTTCAGTATACCTTAATGTGTATGATGGCCAGCAATATACTATACTAATTTTATATTAGAATGGTTTTTCACAAGTTTGCACAACTACCATCAGAAAATGTTCAACTCACGAGACCGGGTTGCTCTGCATGGACTCGACGCTGACAGCGATGATGGAGAGCATGAAGGTGATGACGACCAGCGCGCAGTCCAAACTGTTGTACCACACGCGGAAGAACAGCTTGAACCTGTGCACCAGCAAGAATAATGAGTCTAAACCACGCATTTTGTGTGTAGATAACTAATCTCATAAAACTGAATGTGAGTGAAGTGGAGATTTAGTGGTTCACAATAATTAAAACAAATTTTAAGCTGTGTGTGTTTTGATGCTAAAATTTTGATGCTCAAATTTTTCAGCTACACTTTAATGGCAGTTCTAGCATGAGTGATATTGGGAATATACAAACAATACAAGCACAGCTTTAACATTGGTAATATTTGACTTTGAATTACTATGAAGTCATTGCTGGAATACAGTATATAGGACTCATTGCACGCTCATGACACAAAATTATAGAACCAGATCAGATGCAGACTTTGAAGCCGCTGTCTAATTTTATCGGTCATTGGCCCTTGCAGCATTTGCAATGCTAATGACTCGATTAGACGGTCAGATATACTCATGGGTTAGAAACCAAGGCGTTGTTGCGGAAATGCTGCAACTCATTTTGTATGTAAATTAGTTATCTATGAGCTGCGAGTATTGGAGCTGAGAACTTCCGTTTGTAGCTATTATGTTCATTTTAACGTGCACTAACATGCATACATACACTAATAAATTGCCCGAAAATGCATCCAAATACACACCACTCGAGCATCCGTATCCTCCAGCAAATTTCTACTATAGGATACAATTACAATAGGATAGGATCTATAGGATACAATTACTTTATTTTGATTTTTCAAATTTAATTAGGATTCGAAATTCTACCTGCCCACTTCTCAACAGTGGCATCTCTGATGGTGTGGCCACAACAACCTTTTCTCCATACAAATAATTACGGAACTATATAATATATTAGTGGCTTTGAGAGTTAAGATAATCCTAAAATGGTTTAAATTCAGCCAATTTGGCACATGTCGTCCAATTCATAGATCAGTCTACTGATTGAGCCCCCATGGTAACTCATTCATACAGAGTAGATTTATACACTGTTAGAAAAATTACCGTTAACGGTATTACCGGCGTTTCAGTGGCCGGTCGGCACGTGAAAAGAAACACCGTGTCGCCGTTTTATTCTAATTTAACACTATAAATCCGTGAAACATCTGATAAAAACGGCGAAACAGTTTATTTTCACGGGGCGACCGGCCACTAGGATGCCAGTGGGACCCTTTTTTCACCGTTTTTTCTAACAGTGTACGTTCGCTTGCACGAGACGTGCAAGCGAATATCGCGAGCACGAGTCATCATGCAGGCAATGTAATCGAGACGTCAAACCCTACATAAAATTTTATCACTCACTCCCACTGAGGTCTTCCAGTGCGTTAAGTAATACAAGAACACTTTCCCGCCCATGAATATGGATTAACTCTGCATCCTTTGTTTCTTTACCGATATCTGGGCAATTTCTGGTGCGTAATTTTCACCTAAATTTAGGAATTGTTGGGTATTATGAAGTTTAATTATCTAATAACTACAGAGGCACTTACATAGAATGTAAGCGCGCTTACTGATATGAAGGTAACGGTTAAATCTTACCCAAGTCCAAATATTCTAAGGACGATCTCTGCCATGAAGTATGTGCTGAGGGCGAGTGCGGTAAGTTCAAGAGGATCCGTTGGGTTTATGTTCCCTTTGGTCAAGTCTATGATCAATATGACCATATCCACTATAATCAGTACCGCCGTCAGTAAACGAAAAATGAAGTGTTCCACGAACCTTCGTGTTCTCCACTGTATGTACCTGTAAATAATGTTAAACTTGTTGGAACTTTGATAAACTTCAATTTAGTGGCTACTCAGTATCCAAACAATAGAGCTGCTCTTAGTTGGTGCGAAGAATTGAACAGCCCACTATTAAAAATGTTAAGATTTGATTAAATTCTTAATGACTGATCACGATGCTTTGACGAACTCATGAAATTTTAAATATAATTCTTTAAAGCTATCATGCGCCGTGCCAATAAACTTTAGATACAAGTTTGCAGATTTCAAAGTCATTGTATTTTGAATTCATTACAACGAGATAACCTCTCGGAAGATAAAAGGACTTCGAAACGAGATGTGCAAGACAAAATATAAGTGCTTCAGGTCATGGGTGGGAAATTGAGAAATTCTATTCTGAAAAGAGAGCTGGTATGAAACCAAGTTTATGTGTTAGACCACAGAAACACGAAGATTAAAGAGACGATGGTATAGAAAACATAGAAAACCACAGAAATACGATGTTTAAAGATTAAAGAGACGATGGTATAGAAAATTTATCGATTTAGGATATCTGACGTTATATTGCATCCTGGCTGTGGGGGGTTGGAGGGGTCCGAGAAGCCGAGCTGTTCTTGCACCTCGTGCTCCTCAGGGTCGTACGAGTAGAAGTCGCTCGCTCTTCGGAATATTTCTCGTCCAGCAAGATCTTCTTCTAAGGCAGGGAATCGTTGTACATTAATAATAGTTCAGGCTAAATTGCGACACACTGAGTAATAGTTGTTAAAAGTCTCATATTATTAGGAAATTTAAGGTAATGAACAGGAGTACTCTAATTTACAATTCTCACGGAATAGCAAAGAACAGCCATTGCATGAGGCAAGAAATCGTTGTACAATAATGATTAAGTTTCGACAGACGGAGAAATAGTTGTTAGGCTCCCATATCAATTTTAATTTACTGAAAACTATTTTATATTCACAATGTAATTGAAACCTCCTGAGAAATTATTGAGAAAATATTGCACGACTGCTACGTATTGAGAAGTGCTTGTGATATTCTCAATAAAATTGCTATTCCACCAAGAAAAATGTTTATATTTTTAATGAAAGTTTTGTTTACTGTAGAATCATTTAGATAACATTCGAGATGTAGCAACAAAGTTACCAGGAATTGTTTGGCAGTTAAGAATTTAAATGAAGTTCAATTATTAGAGTACTAGATGCCTCATCAATACCAAATGCCAGGTGCCTCCTCAATATTATATAATATAGATTCCTCATAAACACTATATGCTAAGTGTATCATCAACACTATATGCTAAGCGTATCATCAACACTATATGCTAAGTGTATCATCAAACTATATGCAAAGCGTATCATCAACACTATATGCAAAGCGTATCATCAACACTATATGCTAAGTGTATCATCAAACTATATGCAAAGCGTATCATCAACACTATATGCAAAGCGTATCATCAACACTATATGCTAAATGTATCATTAACATTAGATGCTAAGTGCCTCCTCAATACCCAATTGAGGAGGCACTTAATAAAATATTCAACAGGAAAAAAGGGACACGATATTTGATGTTTGCACTAGAATCGACCCCACATAAACGGCTCTGATAACCACAATAATAAGCGCCGTTATAAAGTCAACCTGCGCCGATGTTCCCATCCTCGACCTCGCCGAGTCTGTCGCCGTACTGGCTTCCGTGCTTTACTCTGCTCAACCTGAAGGGCAAAATACTTTTATTAATCAACGTGGAAGCCGATTTATGTTACGATTGAATGAATTTATTTCGAAATAATTCTCGTCTTGAATATGAATAGCTTTAATGAAAACACTAACAAGGGAAAAACCGGAAGACAAAACTGATTCCAATTATTTGCTTGTTTTATCAATAAAACTATGCATTTGTTGCCTTCAGAAGAGTCGGCATATAAATTTTATCCTAAATTATCTTTCATAATTTGCAGGAAGATCCAAACAACGATGAATGATTTAACCAAAAATTGAGTTCTATAAATATTCTATGATGTTATTATATAAGTCACTCTATATATTGCTAATAAAAATAAAATATGCGGCTTTTTCAAATAAACTCCTAGGCTTTCCTGCAGAAACTTAGTTGGTCGCAAATGAAAATTATGGCTTCGCATCATTACAAACATAGAAAAACCGGGATTATTCCAGTAAGGAACATATACTCCGGTCTGACCTGTACAATCGGGATCTGTTGATAGAAAATCGCCCCTAGACCAGTGAACCCACTATAAGGGCACTGAAAACATGAATTTCGCTGCACGAAAACTAAATACTCGTATTATTTAATCTAAAATAATATAAACAATTAAATTTTAAAATAATATACGTTTAAAAATTACTTTTTAAAGACAACACTTCCAAAGAATCCAGTATCTCCAATCTTTATTTATTTTGACATTTGATTCATGCATTGTCTCCAACTTTACACAAGTGTGCAAAATTTCAGATCGATAGGATAAGTAGAAGTGTGTTAAATTTTGATTATAAGATTTGTAGCAGACAGACAGACAAGACAGACAGACAGACAGACAGACAGATAAACAAAAAAAAAATCTGAAAATTTTTTTCTGCTGAAAATCAAGAATGCTTCCTTACTGTTTAGTGCAGCACTAAGATAAAATATCCGCGGTACTAGCGCAGCCTTGCGCCAATAACCTTTTTTAATCCAATATTGAAATTTGATAGTCGTTTCCGTCGATTGGCCATTCAAGTGCTGCTTTCGTACAATAGGTAAATACTGGTCGGCATAATATTCACAACAATTTTTTGGCCCATATATACTGTTTAATTAAAGTAGAATATTTTCACGCATTGACGACGATTCTAAACAACAGTACACCCGCCCCTTTCAATAAAGGCTGATTGGTCCAATTAATGGACATGTAATGTCTTATGAGGCTTAATTTTGATAACTTGATTGCCCAAAATCGTTGGGAGCTTCGTCATTGGACGAAGGAATCAGGTTAGTTTTTTTAAGTAACTGGGCTGCAGTGTTGATTTCCGATAGGCAACATCGCATCTCCATCCTTAAAATATTAGTGGTCTATCGAACTGAGGATGAACTGGTACCACAAATACTAACAAAGAGGAGACGAATATAGTCCATTAGGATTCTTACCCGTTAATTCTCGCAGATGATTCTCCATCCTCAGTGAGAGCGAACCGAGTGTACTTCGCTCTGAAAAAATACAGAATTTAATAGGTCGAGTCATTCATTCCCAGTTAGTAGCATTCTACAACTTGTTACAATATATTTTATTCAAAAACCAAATTGCAGGCTGCAATATTTTGAATTTTTGAAAAACGCAAAAATTATAAGATGAATGCAAATTTCTGATCGTCCACCGGAAAGGTGACCACGGGCTGAAAAAAAATACTCAAAACGTGATTTCTTTATGACCTCAATAACCAAATTTGCCGGTCATTTCTCAATAAATGACAGAATAAGTGATATCGTATAGAAGACTGTTATATACAAAGAGAGAAGAACAAACTAAAGTTAACGTTATTTAGAGATCATTTCCTGCTACTTCACTGATGCTGCTTTAGTCGAGGAAAAAAATTATTTAAAATAAATGTGCCTAAAATGATGATACATCTCTGATAAAATCGGCTCTAGCTCAACTTTTTAAGTTTTCATCAGTCATAAAGAACAATATTGTAAAAATAGTTTTTTCATGGAAGCTCTGACTAAAATCTTAGCGATTCATTGCCCAGCAACAGGTCAAAGAAAAGTGAGCAAGGCACGTTCATGTTCTGCGGTATAGATGCAATAGACCAAAATTAAGCAGCGTCGCGGCTTGATCGAATTTGCATTCTACTCTTGCAGCTCCGACACTTACAAAGGTCTTACAAAAACAGCCTGTGAAGAAAACTCGAAACCTTGAATACACGGGTCCTTGAAGACTAGGGTATTAATTCAAAATTTTTATAGTAGCTACGCTACAAATGTTCAATGACGAATTTTGATTCCGCTTAACTTGTGTAGTGGCATCCTTTTGTCCTACTGACAACAAATTTAAAAAGAGGAAGAGGATGATGTGAAATCTCAATGAAAAATTCGTCGATAAATTTGCATCCGAAATAAAGTTCTAGATAAAACTAAAATTTTAAATCATCTAAATTACTTCGCATATTACATCTCTCTATCAGCTGACTAAAATAAACACACAGATTTGTTTAAAAACGCTTAGATGAGCGAATTAGAGAACAGGATAATCCTGAAACACATCGGATGGTATATTGTCTGGGGTACATATCTCCGGATAAAAAAACGTAGTCATGGTATCTCGACCACGACATCAACAGAAAGAAGTGGTATTGTTCACGCGACATGTTGCAGCTCATTTCGCATCTTAATTCGAAAGTGGAAACGAAAAAACGTTCCTAATTGGTATCGGTGTGCATGAACAACAGTGCTGATAATAAGCTTGTTATAATACTGGGTTTGAACGAAGTTTGTCTTTTCGATAGTCCCATGATTAAGAATTAAACCTTTGAGACTAATGAACTCTGAAAACAACATTAATTTATTAATGTGTTAATAACGACCATCCAATAATCTCTCAGAAAAACCAATCCAGAAACCTGATTATAGCATCAATCGTGTAACCTGGTGATAACGTCAATTTAGTAACCAGGTAAGAACATTAATCTAGTTTAGAAATAATACTTAGCCGGCCGATTTCAATCACTTCAATTCATTTTTTCCGCTACAAAAACTTAAATGAATCGCTTCCGGCTTCTTGGGCAGCCTGTAGTGGCACAATCGCAAAATATAACAAGAAAAAAATACTTACATTTTTAAAACGTCTCGAGATTTGAAAACTAAGAAGTGAGGAAAATTCTCAATTCAATGAAAGTTTTCATAAATATGTGCTAACAATTCATAAAATAAAAAAAAAACACTTGATATTAACACACGCTCTGTAATTTGTTGTATGTAAGTCTTCATTGAAACCATCAATAGCCAATTTACAAGATCAAATGAGACTTCCTTTTATGAAGGCATGAAAAATTTTTCAAGCAGGTTTCATTGAAGACCAGAGAATTTGTTTTATTCGCAATTTTCTTATTAGTTTTTTCGATATATCGAACATTATTTTTAGTTTGAACTGGCAAATCGAAAATTAAAATTTCTAATTTTTTTCATGTATATATCTTAATTAAATAAAAAAACACGTATTTTTAAAGACATGAACGTAATGATCGACTCACAATATAGGCGGCCTACTGGTTGCCATCCTCGCTGGTTGTCTCCACGATCGTTCGATTATCTCGATCAGAGATCATGCGTGACCGAAATGTCGATCGAGATGGGAGAGTGCCCAGACAGCAGACCCTCCGTCTACTGTATCATTGTCCGTGATCTTTTCATTTTGTCTCTTATTAAAAGTTCGAATTCAGGATTTATGTTAACCATCGTCTAGGATTATTAAATTTTATACTGCATAAAAGTCGATTTTAGACACAGCGGATTACGAAGCAACTTGTTTTCAGCTTTCAGATCTCAAAGAACGTTTTGAGATCGCAAAATTACATTAAAATGCAGTAAAACTGAACTTATCATCATTTGTTGAGTCATAATGACACTTTTCAAACTTTACAGAAAGTTTGTCATTGATGAAAAATGTAAATCACGTGTAAATAACCTCGATTTACTAAAGAATAAAAGTGTTGCTTCATATTCATAAATTGTCGCGAAAATAATGTTTCTGTACGTTTGAACAAAAATCACGTAATAGAGACTACGTTTCAAATTTGTATTTCTTTTTAACAGGTCCACTCAGTAAATCACGAAATGATAAATTTTCAAGTTTCACACAATAGATTTTGAAATCCCATATTTCCAATTGTTTCACACAATAAATACTAAAATGAATACTTTTCAACTGTTCCACACAATGAATTTTGAAATGATTACTTTCCAACAGTCACCACACGATAAATATTAAAATGTGTATTTTTCAGCCGTCTAAATAATAAATGTTTTCTAAAATTTTGAATTTTCGCCTCAGTTTCTCTAACACAAAACAGAAATGAATTTTCTTCAGTATTGAAAATAATTTTCTCAAAACGTAAATAGCACATTCCTGTCAATATTTTCTATGCTAGTCCGACTTTCAGTATTCGGCAAATTAGGACGGATTGTGGGAACTATATTATCATTGTTATTACAAATTCAGCAAATTCTGGCCCTTTGCAGTTTAGCAAATACTAAAAATAATCTTCATTTTGGCTGCCTTTCTCCAGCGAAGTTATTATTATTATTATTATTTTTTTTTTTTTGAAATACTGGAACGTCGAAATATTCATGAAACCTGGCAGAAGAGGAAATTCCGAAAAATGGACCATTATTAGTTGTAACAATTATTATTTCCGGTAAAAAATAAACTTGGCTATCTTGTGGTAACCACAAATTTGGTCAAAAGCTAGACTTCGGGCCAACTTTCGCAGTTTAACGTCAAGAAACAAGCAGCTGAAAAAAATTCGGTACCTGCTAAACTGCAGAATTGCCCTAATTATTTCTAAACATTCATTCTTTCCACGGCATGCAGGGCATGTTACATTTCATTTCAGCTCGGAAATTTACATCCCCTATTAAATTTCTTACAGGTGTCACTCACCAATGAGCAGCCAGAACCCAAATCGTCGTCTAGGAGGTCACACGTACCAGCAAGCGTCGGTCACACTCAACTCGCCAATCACGTTCTAGTCTTCTCTATGCGTAATATTTATCACGTCGGATCGTGCATACGCAAGCAAATCACTTAAATTCGCGTTTCCTTAAGCTTAAGCCCAAATTTATCGTCGTGACGGTGAAAGAATCAGAACCTCGCTTAAAAATTCGTCACCACTTCTAGGCACCCATTCCCGCAGGTGCTAAACATTTGCCTCAGAGAACGCATACAAACTATGCCTCGACCCTAAGTAAACGGAGATGAGCTCCAATGCTTGGCTACCGACGGCAATTAAATAACACAATAGTAAATGATGTCAAATCTTACATGCAATATCATTTGTGATTGATCATATCACAAAGCTAAATAGATAATTCGGGCAAATATTTCCTATACCGTTTCGAGTTTAAACTTACATTTTCACGTAATCAAGATGGCGCACTCGTCAACATCCAAATCTAGTTTTCAAGGAATCTGACTCCACATATGTGGCAAATTTAGTATTTCATCTATTTTGTCTTGAATTTCCACGCTGTTAAATTCGTGTATCTTACTTCAACGTTTGATGCTGAAATGCTCTAGCCTTCCTTTCCACTCTTTCGAAATGATAAGTTTTTCATTTGCAACTAACTTTAGCTTAACCCTCTACCGCCGTATGTCACTCTCCGAGAACATAACTTTCAACTTAAATTATACGTAAACTATTGAGTGTAGCAACGACGTTTGTACGCAACAGAAAACATTTAAAAGTTGTCGTACGTGGCGGCAGTCAACAGTGCAAGTCATTTTGCGCTCACTAGAACGTATCCTTTTTGGGAAGTGTAGGCTTGTGACAATATTGCTCGAGTTACTCATGTTAGGCGGTAGGGGATTACTAGATGATTATTCATATAAAGCTTCGTGCTTTCACCGAAAACAGTGTATAATAATAAAAAATATTATTCTAATATCAATGTATAAACATTGAAGGTAGGGAACCTTACTTCGGTGTAAAAATACAAAGTCATACCTTTTAATGATACCTTTGACACATTCCACATTGGAGGAACTCGCATTCCATATTCTTTGAACTCACGAGCATTAAAGAGACATTCCAGTTAGTTCCTAAGTACGCCGTTCAACCGTTCAACTTATTTGCGTGAACAACTATCATGAAACTGTCAAGTAATTTGGGGAAGTCAATGATCTTTGCATTCGACGTTTATGTAGAAAGAGTTGCAGCTGTCACACTATAACACCTATGATCAGCGAATCCTCTATAACGAGTATGTTAGACACGTCCTAATTTGCTCAAACTCTTATGAAGTACGAGAATGCATGTACCTTCATATCATATTGTACGTATGAACTACGGTACTGGTAAAATAACTTTTATGGACAAAAACTACTCGTAAATTGCGTTGAGTGTAACTGATTATACCGCAGAAATACAAGTCGGTCCGATGGATGGACGCAAATTAATTAAATGAATCGACTTGATCGAACGCTGGACTGCTAAATTCTAGATTCAATCCTTATTCTTCTGCTTTTGCTTGATAGGTTTACATTTTAGTAGTTCGGACACTTTTTTTCAGACTTTGGGGTTTTAAGCGGCTGTTGTTTGCAACAGTCGCGGGCTGTTGAAACGGGCTCGCCGGATTATAATATCGTTGTGGTTTCCTTGATTCTGCAATGTACCACTTAAGTTTTCACACTTTTTAACTTCTTAAATTTCCTATCGACAGCCTTCTTTTACACATTTAACATTTTTTTGAGTTATGAAACAATTTTGTCAAGAATCTTAGTATTTTTTTTTTCTTGCCTGAAACTGTTTTTTACAGCTGCAGTAAAAAAATATTACTCAGTACTCACTGCAGTGAGTGGCAGAGAGCGGATTTTCTCGTCGACGAAAGCGTGAAGTCACGCACGGACGGACACACGACAGAGAGACGGACAGACGGACGGACATGAAGAGCACAATAGTGCAATTTTTCCATAAATGAGAAAATGCGCTAAAAACACTTTCAACAAGTAGATTATTTCGTCGTCGTAGACCACGTCCTTCGTTTGGCGTGGTGAGGCATTATCGATTTTTTTATTCGTATTCGATTTTACGGAAGATTTAACTTCGATTCATTAACCTAATAAATTTTTCTTATTTGCTTGAACCACAAAATACGCTGCTCATACAATCCTAATTTATTGATTATTGCTCATAATTTTATAACCATAGTCGCACAAAAATCCTTGCTTATATTTTTCGTTGCATTTCAAGAAGTGCGTTTCAAGGAAAATACAGCAGTGCGCACGATCACGGGATGCGGACACAAGTGAGCTGGGTACATCATAGGTGTAATTAGCTTCATTAACATGAATGCCGAGATAGTAACTTCACACAACAGTGTTGAGTAATTACTACATAAGAAGGCATATTTTTGCATATCATACGCCAAATGATGAATAATCTCGTTAATTTGATCGCGCTTTCGTCTAATACTAAATATTTAGCAATCAACGATGTGAAATTTTTTGCCAAATGCAAAATAAACTTTAGGTGCTGATTTCGGATAGTTCAGGGACTTCGGTGCGATCGCTGACGTTGTACGACCTCATAATCATATATAGCCTCTCTTTACAATTATTGAACTTTTTACACGACCAACAAATTGTACTCAGATTAGATGGTAACATCTCTACAAATGCAACCACAATCGTCACTATAGAATCACGATACTTTTAAATAGCACAAATTTACAAAGAGAAGTGATTTTACAATGCTTAAATTTCTCATTTCATTGTTTTTTTTGGAAGCAAATAAATAACACTGATACGATTAGAACTTCATGATGACAATAGAATAAAATCTGGAAATAAAACGAGTATAATGCAGCTATAGATCAATCGACGACGGTACATCTTCTTGAGAGCAGGGAGTGAACCAAGTATCGTCACGAAACTTTCTCAATATCGTCAAAAAAAAAAATTTTAAAACACCATCATAACACAACCTAATTTCACAACAGCATTGAAGCCAATAAACCAAACTGCATTTTATATTTTACAGCAATTACTTGGCAGCACTATTATGAAAAGTGTCATTTCTCTTCTGCGCAATGGCAGCTGTTATTTTGTAATAATCCACTAGCATTGTGCATCAGCTATCAACAGAAGAAACTCCATCCGCTAGCGCGGACAACCGCACTGACACTGACTGTCACTGCAGGCCACGCCTCTTCAGTGAGCCCAAGCTCTCGTACACAGGGTACTGTAACTTAATTAAGTTTACGTTCCATGGCGCGCAAATGCAAATAACATAGAATTTATTCTGCGGACGTTCTCGTTCAACATGAAATTACTCCATGCTACATAATTCTAAAAATACTATAGTAGAAACCGCACTGTAGATGCAAACAACGTTGTGAATAACTTTTGATTTTCCTATTGGTCAATATATGTAGACAAAAAATAACAATGGAAATAATTTAATAATTCTTGTACTATATGTACATTGGATGTTTCAAATCCTACCGCAAACTACTTTTAGTCAGATTGTTATTTATTTCTTCATCGCGCAGAATTTAAAGCGTTTAAACATTCCCTATTCTTGTCGGGCGCCTCAAGCACGTGTTTTATTCCTGAACGTGCAGGAATATCGGAAAAAATTAAGCCAATAGATGTTTTGCCTACGTTACGTCTCTGAGCACGTCGCCCCCTGAAAACCCGGTTCCTGAATAAGATTAATGGGTTACACATGTGACATGACATACTATTGTTTGTATGCATAAACGTTAGATATATGCTGTTCTCGACTTTATCTAGCCGAGCTCTTACAAGCTGCCCTCGCCAACAATATCAGCATTTTTTTTTCATCCCCACTCACATTTTCTCACTTTCTTTCCAAACCCCATGAAAATTGCAGTTATTCCCCAAATATCAGATTGATAAACTTGTTTCACAACGATTTTCTCAATCTAAGCTATGAACTTAATAGATGTAAATGCAATATGACGAAATTTTATATCTAATTCGTGAAAATTTTAAGCAACAGTTCAAGTAATTAAAATATATTCGTAGAGAGTTTGTTCAGAGCGATGATCTGTTAGTACCTTCATTTCCATTAGGGAGTTCTGTTAGACCCTCACATCATTCATCTCTGACAAATTCTTTAAAATAATATCATTTTATGATACTTGTCATTTCTACTTTACTTTTAACTCTCAATAAATACACACCTTTCATTTCAATGTGTTTTTTTTTCAAAATAAGCAATGTTGTCTCTGTATTATTCACGGTAATACACGTGTTCCA